ATCAAGGAGAATTGTCATTGTTTCAGCATTATTGCCAAAGTAAGATGTTTGTAGCTAAAAGAAGGTTCAAATGCATCTTGCATTATTTGAACAATATTATTGCATCTCATCTGTGACATTATGAATGAATTTTGAACATTTTCAATTACCAACAATGTTTTTATTGATGATTTTAGAAACTCCAATCTAGATTCTTGCATTTTTTTTTACATGGTGGTCATCATTTTCTTAATAAATTGTACAATGGAAAATTAATATTCTATATCATCATGAAGTTTCTTGATGCAATGTGTTTATTCAATAACTTACAAACAACTACAAGCTCTTAATTAGAGTTGTGGCAACTAAATCTATACAATACTCATTATTGGAAGCTATCTTAAACATATCATTTCATCAAGCATGAATTCCAATTGGTTTTTGCTTTTTTCACCTTTAAATATTTGTTGGCAGTATTTGTTGTATTGTATCTACAATGTCTACAACTTTTTTTTCATAGACTACCAACAAGACAAGAATTGTTTAGGTCTAATAAATTTCTCATTAGAATGGGTGTTAGACTCTAAACAATACTATTTGCTTTAGAAAGTAAGTGCATATCTTCACTAAGAGATGAAATAAACTTTACTGTGCTCTATTTTAATTCTATAGGCTTAAAATTATTAATTTATAATAATATAATTAATAATTTTATTAATAGAATTTATATGTTATATTACTTAATATAAGATAAATAAGAGAATGTCCTACATTACAAGAGCCAAGTCATGTGGTTTTAAAGCACCATTACAAGAATCTCAAAGATGTATAAAAAAAAAAATTGATTAATTATTACATGGATCACAACCATATTGAAAATAAAAGATACCTAAACATTGCTTATTATACATCAATAATGTAATGTAAATAGTAAAATGATTGATAGTTTAGTATAAATAAGTTTTTTGCACTTACAATTTTAATAAATAACAAAACAGAATTCCCTCAGAGAAATTGATTTAATCACATACAACAATTTAGTATTTACATAGTGAGATTATGAATGTGAGTCATAATTTATTTTTTTTTAGATTTTTAATTTATAGGAAACGGAATTAAACATTGTAGCAATTTATTTCATAACATAGTATTATTCATTTTCTATCTCATGAGCAAATTATTTGCAAGAGCTTGATCATGATGTAAATTTTTTAAATTAAATAAAATATTTTTATTTGAAATTTAAAATGTTTATTTTTCAATGCATAAAATCAAAGCATGTAATAAAAGAATTTGAAGCTTCTTTTAGTACTTTCATAGTTACTTTCATTGACTTCAATAATTATTTTTTCTTTGAAGTTTCTTCATTAGTTAGAATGTAAACAAGGTATCTTCTTTCTCAACAGGATATACTAATTTATAGAAAAATGTACATAGTGGATGGCTGTTGGAGGTTTGTAAAATAACTATACATATTTACTTTAGTTTGATTATGTATATTAAAGGTTATATTTATATATAATTCTTTTTGGTTCATGTAAAGTATATAAAATTTATTTATTTATTGTACTCTGGTTTTCTTCTCTGCTTCAAAGATGTAACTAAAAATAATACACACCTTACATATGGTTCTATATGTATATATATAAATATATATATATATATATATATATCAGAATGTCAAGATATACTTTCAATATCCTTCCAGCAATACAAACACACCTACTGGGCAACTTAACACTGTGTCCCATTTCTTTTTCTATAACAACACTTTGGTATACTAAATACATAGCATTAGTGTTTTTATTTAAACCCCACTAATAAATTCTCGTAAAAGATACCCAATGTGCAAAAAACTTATTCTTGTCCAATGAATAAATTCACCAATTGCAATGATAATGATCTTGTCAAAAGATGCTTAATAAGGTGGCATGTTTAGTACTACACATGCATAAAAGTTTATTCTTACAGAAAGGAAGGAATTCATTTGCAAAATAAATAAAATGAAATCAAGTAATGCTCCATTGACACTTGTTGTTGTTGCTTGCTTGCTTGCTTGTTGATTTTATTTATTTATTTTTAACAATAGATCTTTTCACTCAATGTCTCCAACAAACTCAATATCAAAGACTCTTGGGTAGTACCAAGAGCCAAAACCAATGGCAAAAATAAATGGGGAGCATGGAATTTGCTGTCTCAGCTTCAAAAAGGATTCTAAACACAAGAACTTCAAATCAAAGGTTGTCTCTGTACAAATTTAATTTATTTATTTTAATGTGCCCTGCTGTGGTACAAATAGACAGATATATTGCTGTGCACAGGGCCCATGGGGGTGGAAGCCTAATCAAAAACAAGTTATGGGGCCCGGCCAGGTGCACATCATGCAACAATTTACAGCCCACAGATCCCAGATCTCACTGCATTTCCATCCTTTCCCTTCTGCCCCAAGTGACAAAACATGCCAATGTTTCTGCTCCTAATCTCACCCAGGATGATGCCTTTGTAGGGGGGATAACAGACCACGACTCTGTCTGTGAACTGGGTCTGTGTCACATTTAAATGGAAAAATGGAAAATACATATTATGAAGCAATTTTTTATTACATCGTAATCTTCCACAGCTTGTGCAGTGACAAATATTGTGAAGACCATCGGGGGGCAACTTCCAAGGCAGGGAGGGGGGAATATGGGGTATTCTTCTGTCCACTCTGGCAGCTTCTTCTTCTTCTTCTTCTTCTGCCCTATGGATAATAGTGCCACATCCATTTGCTGTTGTTCTGGTGCAATCAGATGCTCAGCATGATGGCCATGTGAACCAAAACAGCACCATCACCACTATTTCTCCCACTACCAAATACTACCACCACCTACTACTACAACAACAACAATTACTACTATTACTACTACCACAATCTGTAAGGGCCAAGAGCCCAGCTAATTCCAGCACCCACAAAGGGGGCCTTTCAAACATCAAAGCCCCCAACAGCACTGATTCCCATGTGGCTATGGAATCACTGCTACAGAATAGCCGTGAAGGCACCCACAAATGCACACAGCGGGGCAGCCCAGTTTAACAGAGTTCCTGTTCTGATAGAGCTCTGATAAGGGCCAGACAGTCCTATAAGCGGCGCTGTAGCACACGCCGCATGGAACCTTCAATTTTACTGTGTGCCCCAACTCGGTCGTCGAAAGGGCTAATATAAGCCAAGTTGTTAAAGGCACATCACGGGGGTGGGGCACATTCCATGCCATTGACCTGGCTCCCGCACTCAGTAATGTCAGGAAAGGTGATTAGTCCGCCTCGGGTGTTGGATTTGGCTTCTCTTCCGCCACCGCCACAGAGACCTCGCTTTGTCCCACGCTACAGCTCACCTTGTTTGCAACGCTTAATTACTTTATTTTATTGTATGTTTTGCTCTGGTGCGGTTTCCGAGCTGCAGCAGCAGTCGGTTATTCTTTCGAAGCTCAGATGCCAGTGCTGAAATTGGGCTAGGGGGGTCGAAATTGTGATAAATGGTAAATTTAGGGTCAGGGGAGTGTGGCCAAGTCACAGGTTGCTGTTTCTGGTTTGCGGCAGAAGCAGGCAACGGCCTGGCGTGACAGCGAATCTCCTTGTCATGATGAATTCCGTGCAGGTTTTGAGGGCCAGTGGGCCCTCTGATAATGTCAGATCAGTTCGTAACGACTTGGTAACTATTTCCCCGTCTCACCCCCCTCCCCCTTAGTGCACACGACCCTGCGTCGCAAGAAAAAAACACGGAGGGTTGACAGATTCTACTCCATGTAGTTTGAACACTATTGCTTAGAAATCGGCGAAGCTTGGAGTTCCAAAAAACATAACAAGACCGTTCCAATACTTACCAACAGCCATGCGTGGAGAATACTCCGGTCAGCAAGCCTCGTTCTGGCTTGTAGTCATCCCCTCTCGAGCTTCATTTGCTTCTGATTGGGAATTCTGAATGCACGTCGTTATTCAATTGTATTACTAACATGCAAAGTTCGTCACATTTCGACGTTGTCTCGTTTGTGCACGTGAATAACTCTCCGCTGCACTCACTTTTTTTTTTTTGGTTAATCGGGCCGTTAGATAGGGTTTTGACCATTTCGTAATCACCTAATCTAAACAACCCACATTTGCCGCTGGCTACACAATTGTTGAGAACTCAGAAAATTTGAGGCACTGCACAAAGTTTTCGCGCAACCCTAGTTTTGTGGTGCTACTAAACCCACATCCGATCGGGTGGTGGCTTTCCCGTTAAGGCCGGATTTGTCTGGATTCGTTGATTTGTAACAGAATCCGAATTTGTTGATTTCTGACAGCTGCTTTAGAATTTTGAATGCGATTACTGTTCGTCGAAGCTTGTGTTCAAAACAAAAGTACTAGGGGTCATCCTAGTTTAATACTGTCATGGGTTCATGGGCAACGAACAAGCTCCCTCACGCCGAAATGAACAATTAACACAAAACAAAACAGAAACAAAAACATCTGTCAATATTTAAGGTTACTATTTTATCCTTTTTTTCCTTTTGTAATGCCGTCGGAGGAATTCACGGGGATCATTCGTCGATGGGTGTAATTCCTACCCCAGGCGCCTGAACATTTGAATGTATCATACCTTAGTGTTTCGACACTTAGATTTTTCCTTCCGATTGTGAAGCCACAGAGTGAGGATGGTGATCAATCCTGAGTCCGTTGGATCGCTGAGCTTCAAGCGTGCCGCAGAATCCAACAAAACGACGCAAATGAATTATGTAATTCCGAACTAGACGACATTCTGAATGGAGGAATATTTCATGAGCACTGTGGCACTTGGGTTCCTCACTCGTCCTCGATCGCTGAACACGGTAGATGAGTCAATAGCTGTAGCTGGAGTAGATCGCCCACAGACAGCACCAACAGCGGTGAAGACAAGATTGGCAAACGGAGGTGGTGAAAGAATTTAGATTGTTGCAGCCTTCCCGAAGTTCGTGCAACCACCAGGGCCGAGGCTTTGCCCCTCACCTCGCATAAAACCCTCCCTCCCCTCCTAGCCGCAGAGGCCCTCCCTCCCTCCCGCAGAAGGCTCTCATTTGAGCTTCCTCTCCTGTCGTGTCGCCGCGATCCTCTGGCATCCTCCCATCTGTCACCTGCACTTGCGCGCTTTCAACCTCTCGTGGCCTTTGTTCCCTCAATTTCACTCGAGACTGCTCCACAATCGAGTTCGCCTGGTACTTGCATGCTCTGTCAAATCGTTTCAGGGAACACGGTTGGGCTGTCGAATTTCGCGAATTTGTTTTGACCCTCTTGTTGCAGAGAATGTGCCAAGTTGGTTTGGCGCTAGTTGAGTATAACCTCACCACCCTTTTGATATAAATCAGTACTCCTTGCCTCCACGTTACAAGCCTTATTGTCGGTGGTCGTCGTGGTTCCAGATTTTTTCGTTGAGTCTGTCGTTGGGTAGTCTGGTGAGGAGCACGGCATTTCACGTGTTTCTCGTTTGAGAGATTCTTTGCTGTTGGGATCGATCTTTTTGAGCACACGATCTCCTCGCGTTGCTGCTCAATGTCGCTAGGTTGAGGTTAATTCTAACTACAGCGTTTCCGTCGTCTCGGGGCGGCGACGTCATTAGTAACCCTTGGTGTGAATTCTTTGATCCTTGATTCTTTTGTTTGAGTCCTCGGGGTCCAGAGCACTCGGAAGTTTTCTTCTCCGTTCCTGTACATCCGAATCGTTGCTCATGCTTTTGACTGCATTTCTCAACTGTTCTTGTATCGAGGCTATAGAAGCCACATGTCCACCGTCTCAATTTGTTGTTTCCTAGGATTTGTGCAGCAGCTCTTTTAACGACTGACTCGAAACCGCAAACAAAGTTGTATGACTGTTTGAGACCAAGGTCGAAAAGTATCATTTTCTCATTATTGCGACAGAAGTGACGGTCGAGAAGCACACAGATCTGGGAGGGGACATCGTAACAAAAGCAGCGAAAATAGGGAGGCCATATCTCGCCCCTTGTGCGCCGCCGGGCACATACCCGCCGGCACCGAGTTCTCCAGGCGATGAGAAGATGTGGCGCTGTCATGGCGCTACCTATGCCGAGCTCGTCGCCAACTTGCAAAGTACGTGCACAAGGGTCCCAAACCCCTCTCATGTGCATGGTCGTTTTTCCATTATGAGATCGTGCATCTCGGGAGATGCTGTGTAGGTTTTGCTCGAGCCCAACTTACAGGCTCGGTTTAAGGGTGGAAATGTGTATTGTTACCGGAACTTACGAAGATATCGCCTTTAACGCTTTAGTTGTGTCTGCAGAGCATGGCATCTTAACCTCGCCAGAAGCGGCTGTTGCTATGTCCAAAGTGGACAGGAAGATCTTTGTTCCAGATTCTAAGCTAGCTTACCACGATGCTCCTCAAGTAATAGGTAATGTTTTGAGAATATGAGATGGAGGTTTAAGTAGGGCTCGTCTACCTTGTAAACTTATCACTTGAGCAGGTTCACTTCGCAATTTGAATGTCTATACGTGTATCAGAGACTTTTGGAAGAAATTTGAGAGTTTTATGCAGCTTTCACACGAAGGGAACGACGAATTGACAGATGTAACTCGTCTGTGCTTGGTGTTTCAGGTTATGGAGCAACAATTTCTGCGCCACACATGGTTAGCTTCCGTTCTCAGTAGCATTCAACTTGGTGCAATCTGTGTATCCCGTGTATCATTTTTTGCTGTGCAGGACATGATGGTCTTCAGTTTTACAAATGATTATGAACTACATCTGACTTCTGCCATTCTGTCTGCAGCATTCGTATTGTCTATCTCTGCTCGCTGATTATTTGAAGCCTGGAAGCATTGTCCTCGACGTAGGTTCTGGCTCTGGTTATCTCACTGCTGTCTTCGGCCTCATGGTATTCTGCGTGAAACCAACACCTAAGTCTATTCTTGAACGTTGCACCTGGCATTGTCTCTGCGAAGATTCTCATGAATCGGTCGGTCACTGATCCGATGCAGCAAACACATAGCAATAATTTATGTCTGATTTAAGTGGAGTGTGTCGTGTTGCAGGTTGGAGAGACTGGTCATACCGTAGGAGTAGAGCATATTCCTCAACTTGTTGAGAGGTCGATCGACGCCATAAAAATGACTCCTGCTTCGTCCCTCATGGAAATGGGCCGTCTTGTAGTTCATGGTAAGGCATTGGCGACGATCGTTTTTACTGCCTTAAAGTTGTGAGCTCCGCCCTTGTTTGTGACTGTGTTGAGGTCTTCAGTAAAGTAGTTATTCTTCATAAAGTCTGGCAATTGAAGTGGTGGGATAATGTTTTGCAGTCGCTGATGGAAAACTTGGCTGGGAAGAGTGTGGACCCTACGATGCCATTCATGTCGGAGCTGCCGCAGCGGGTACTGCTTATTGTTTTCCAATTCCTAAAACTTTTCATGGTCATTGAATCCTAATACAATACGAAAGTTGTAGCACTTATCTACTTTTGGCGACTTGTCATTGTTTCAACGGTTTTCATCAGTTTAGAGGGTCAAACTGTTGTGAGGAATGATCTTTATACTGTTTTTTTTTTTTTTTTTTTTTTTTTTTTTTATCTACGTATGATCGAAGTCAGCTGAAATCTGAAACTTTTGCATTTTGATTGGATTGTGACAGATCTCCCGGAAGCTCTGGTGCAGCAGCTGAAGCCAGGCGGTCGCATGGTGATTCCTGTTGGGACAGATTCTCAGGTGTGCCTTTCTTACATCTACTTATGTCAGTATGAAAAAGAGAATTGTTGTGGTACTCTCGTTTTGGAGTCGTGCGACTTGTTTGGGTTTCGGCTTTGTCCATTGTTAAACAGCTCACTCAGGTTTCTAACACTGCCGGTGCGAACGCTGCAGGAGCTTATGATTGTTGACAAGCTACTCGATGGGACAGTGAAGAAGACCAATGAGTTGGGCGTTCGTTATGTGCCACTCATTTAACATCCTACATAATTCTTCTGTTCGATAACTACGATGGGCAGTAGCAGGACACCAACGTTCTTAGGAATAGGGGCTTGCGAAACTCCCGCAGCGGCACCAATGACCTGTAGTACAGTTTTTATCATGCTTTACGAAGTAAGGAGGCATAGTCTTAGTGCCCTACCAGTTCCATTTAGTGGGACAATCCTAGGTTCAAATTTTGACACTTATGGTCTAATTAGGGATCCGGTCTCGGTCCCTTCCAGCGGAGGAGCTTTGCAAATTTTTGTGCGTGGAACTCATGCTTACTATTTGTTTCCTGGTCTATTCAGCTAAAGATGACTTGTTTATGCCAACTTGTTCACTTTAGCCACTAGGAATAAAGATCAGGTCGTTATTATCCTACGCATTAGTAGTTCATCTCGGAAGATGCGTGTATCATTGGCTTCTGCTCTGTCATGTCTTACTTTTTCCGTCTCAACAATCCCAGTGCAACGCACACCAGTAAATGGATTATAGATACTATCAACGTTATTTTCTGCTGCACTTTAGTCCAGACACACCTCAAGCTGATTGAAACGTTCCTTTTCATGACTTATTCACACATGTGCTCCTGCTTCACAAGTCTGGAACCCATTCACATCGTCTTCCCAATGTAAACTTTAAAAACTCTTGAATCGTGACAAAAACTATAAATGGGTGTATCCATCTTCAGTAAGTTGTGCCGCGGAAAATATAAACAAACCAGCCCCAAGGCGGGTGTTTTTATGCCAGCAACACCAGGCTTGTCGTGAATGTGTCCAAACCGATGGGAAGGAAAGAGGAGGAAAAGAATCAAGCCCAGAGTTGCAGCTAAGAGTGGAAAGTAGGGCATGCCCATGCCACGTCTGGTGGTCCCAGTATAGGATTAGTTTGACCTTGTGTTATCATTTCCATTGGTTTCAATTTCTAATTGAGTCGAAGTGTGAAACTTTCCCAGCTCCTACCTATTTGCACAGATCCATGTTAACCTGCACAAGTGTGCCTTTGAAAGCACTTCATCGCCCGAGATCATGAACTTGAATATTGGGAACGGCGTGCGTGGCTAACACTTGGCCTTGGCCACGGTGGCATTACTTTAGGGTCTTCAATAAAACCGATGTAAGCGGCAAAGTTCCCTTCAGAGCCGATCAATATCATTTCTCGAGGCAGCAACGTTTCATGAGTTATGAGTTCTCAGGTGAGATTATTCTCACAGATTTAAAGCTTGACTCAGCCTTTCCTAGTTCTTCTAAATTGAGGTTGAGAGAGTGCCCGGGCATTTTGTAAGGGGAGATTTGGCATAGAAAACGATGGTTCGGTGCTGGATGGTCATGCTGTGGCACTTTCTTTTCGAAGTCATGATCATCGATGCATACGTAGCAAAGCCAAATTGTAGCAGCTGACGTTCATGATTGTCAGGATTGGCATGTGATGAGTCAATTATTGCGAGAGTCTACTGCTTTTTAGCATGAGCAGGAATTCTGAACGAAGATAAGAGGATTTGGCACGAGAATCCTTCAAAGAGGATCGTTGAGATTGATATGATCATTATGGCTCGTGTGCTGGCTCCAAGCACTTTGAACAGCGCAGAGACCGAATTATTGTTTTGCACAAATAATTTGAGGGCAACGCTGTAGTTGGGATAAGAAGGAGATGGAGGAAAATGTTCATGAGCCTCTGATTCAAGCCAACGAGAGGCTTGAAGCGGCAAGAGACAGAGATCTGGAAGTGAATGGCTCCGTTTCTGTGGACATTTACGATGATGATGCAACTCCAATGGTGGCAAGCACTTCGGACGAGTGGAAGTTTATGTTTCATCGCGCCTTGTCAGGAGACGAGTTCTGTCGCAATCATTCCGAGGGTATCATCTTTATAAACCTGCTTTGATGAATCTATGATGTTTCTGATGCTACAATCTGTTCTACCAAGTTGAAAGGAATGCACACGAGCCTTAATAACAACTAAGCAATGCGTATGATGTTGGTGTTTCTTCTCTTTATTGTTATTCTCCAGCTTTGATTAGCCTATGGGTTTTAAGAACTTTCAACCGTAACAGTACTCATCTCTAGTCTCGCTGATATTAACCCTGGAGGGCAGACCAATCTGAACATATTCATTACGAGGACAGACCTCACTTCTGTAATTTAACATGTCACAGACCAGGAATACTCCACAAGTAAGTGAATAAGACTAATTTAATATCAAGTGTTCAGTACCAACATTATAAGGGTGAAGTACCTGTGGTATTTCCCTTTGTCAGTGCATTCAATCTGTTTTTGCCAAAAAGAATTATCATGATTCTTGGGCCGATTGCTTCTGTCCATAAAATGTTTAACAGCAGCCATAATTTGGTGATGATGCCGCTAATTGCAGGGAGTCGATCACATTTCCATCGTTGAAACACCTTCTCGCCTGCTTGCGTAGATGCCTTATAACACCCACGTGTAATCGGTTCTCCCTCTTCGCTCTTGTGCCAGGATAGCGGGAATACAACAGGAGGCACAGGGAAATGCTTTCGCGGTTTCAAGAAATTGATTCCATGTCAACGAGCTCAAAACTAGCCGCGAGCCTGGGTGTTATAAGGAGAGCCTCATGAAAGCTTTGCTATCAATTTTTCTTATCTTACTAATATATTCCTTTTCGTAATCAAGGAACATGGCAACCTTCAAGACTCACATTGTTTGGTCTATCTAATAACAAAGAGAATTTTAACTTTTCCGGCACACTAACATCCTCCTGCGTAATTGTTGGTGCATGGAGATTCTTGTATTGAAGTTCCTCTCTATTCGTTTGGTCATCTTTCACATCTTTGCTGTAGCTATTGTCGCATCCAGAGCGCTTAGTACACTCTTCAGAAACTGAAATCATATACCTAACACGTTTCACCTTTTAAATCGAGAGGAACGTGAAGATAAATCATTGATGCGACTTGTTCTACGTGAAACAGGTGGTTGTTGCAGTACAGAGCTGTGGGGCTAGCCAGAAGATGTCAAAGGGATACGCGTCTGCACCGAACTTTGTAGACTGGTTCTGTATATGAGAATCGTGGAGTTGTTAATCTTGCTCATTTGGCAACAAGATACAAAACCCAGCTACTGACTGTCCCTTGATCTAATGCTTTAGGACCACAAAATTGACACAATTACAAGTTCGGCAGGTTTAGCAGCAGCCCTACTAGCCGATTGGACGAAGTGGTGGATAGATCCAGCTGGTGCCATGTTGTTAGCTCTCTGCATCATTTCCAACTGGAGCAAAACGCTGAAAGAGAATGCTGGTACTTTGTCAGCTCAATTTTTCCTTATTAGCTGATATGACGAGAATGATTACATAACATGCATTCGGGTACTGTAGTGGGCCGGCCAAGATGAGAATCTGATCTTTGTTGCTAAAACTTTTGCTCCCCAGGAAGCATATCGGTAAAAATGTTCATGATTAGGCTACGTTTCAAGTGTAACGTTGGCTCGAACTTGACTCTAATCTATCTGACTTAGAGCTTTTCCTCGTTGCAAGCATTGCTGGTTGGACAATCGGCTCCACCGGAATTCCTACAACTAGTGACGTACGTAGCCTACAACCATCACCCAAAAATCCGCCGGTTGGATACTATACGGGCTTACATGCTTGGAGGTCTATACTTTGTTGAGGTAAGCCAAAGTTTTTGACAGGAAAAAACGTATGTAGTGATTACTGTTTCCCAGTCCATCTAGCATCCGACAATTGTTTAAATGCTGATGCAATTCAGAGTCGCACTGGTCAGGTGGATATAAAATTACCTGAGGATATGATGTTGAGGGAAGCACACAACATCGGAGAAACACTTCAAAACAAATTTGAGGCTCTACCGGAAGTGGAGCGGGCATATGTACATCTTGATTTTGAATGTTTCACAAACCAGAGCATGATGGCGGATCCTTTCTCGTGTAGACAGGAACTTCTGTTGAGGCTCTTTGAGTGCCAATAGACGCAGACCAACATGGAATCTTCCGCAACCACCATTGTCTCAAGTGAAATTCGCCAGGAGGCACCTTCACCTCTTACTTCTGCTGCTTATGTGAGTGGCAGATAGATGCAGTGAATTATTGAGGCACCAAATTCAGTTAGCAACATGTTGAGGGTGAAAGGTAGGATTGCACATAGTTTTTGATTCTCACATGAAACAGTTGTACACATCTAACAGTGTTCTGTATGGAGAAGTAGGAGCTTTGTATTTTACACAAGCTAATGTTGGAGTGTAAGATTTCCAAATTTGCAGTTAATCCTTTCAGCTCAATTTTTTCCCTTCATCTTTCTCCTACTTAATGCAAATGTCTGTTAAATACTTTTGTGGGTGTGTTGATATTTTAATATTGAATCTATGGATGTATCGTTGTATTGTCTTGTATGTATTGTTTGTGTAATCAGCATCTGTATAAAAAGCTTCTTCTGTAATGTTTACCCAATAAAGTCGTCTAGCTACAACTTAACTACTTATTTTTTACTTACGTTTTTAAAATTTCTTTGCCATCATAAATTATTTGCCTAAGAACAATCTAATTTGTTGGAGTTTTTATATATTTGTTAAAAACACCTAAACTTGATGATTTTTATCATATTTCAAGAATTGGCAATAAATTGGTTATAAACTTAATTAAAAAATTGCTATTCACCAAAGGAATTTTTGTGGATGCATTATAAGGAGGAAGAAAGGGAAAAGAAAGGGAAAAGAAAAAAACTATGTAAATAATCCCAATTCTGAACCCATTACCCACCTCACTTCTAACCCCACTTAGTGAGTTTTTTCCTCAAATACCATTCCAGATTCGAATTGGATTACATCAAAAAAATTAGACTGGTACATAATATCCTACTTATATAACAAAACTTAACATATAAAGCAAGACAAATAACGCCCAGAAATTTAAAACAGATCATCTGCCACATTAATCAACATTAGAATTCAAATACATAACTCCTTGAGCATCGTTAGCAACTCCCTTATTCCACAGGAGTTGACCCCACCATCTAATTCTCATTGAACAGAGTAATGCAGCAATAAGCAGAGACTTCGGCTGAAAACATGTCATAAGATTTCATATGAAAGGGGCACAACTTTGATTACATCGGAAAGTATTCATTCTAAATGTATACAATCCAGGTAAGCATGAAGATTATGTCATCACTCTGATGGCTCTTCAAAGTTGGTCTACGTGACACAGTTTTCGGCAGATAAAATCACCGACACGGTCTCCTAGTACTAAACTACGTACCTATCAACTTGTGCTGCCACTAAGTTCCTGAGGCTGGAAGGACAACAATCCTATCTATGATCACAACAGCGTCCTTCTCGGCGTAAACACTATTGGGTATCCAAGCTAGATACTCAGAAGAACTGGCACGAACGTGGAAATAAGTCCGAAAAAGATGACGCAGACAGAGATGGCGCAAACATTCTTGCAGCTCGCTTGACGCCGAACTCCCACGCTAAGGCTCTGAATATTACAGGGAGAAGCAAGGACCTTCCAATCGCAACCGTGAAGTGCACATCAGTAATGGAAATATAAACCAAACCTAGTTGAAATGGTAACGAATGAGGATCTATGGTTACCGCTTTAGTAACCATTTTCACCGCAGGTACCATCTTGCAACTCGTAACCCAGTCAAAAGGGATGACAGAGCGAGGAATAGAAATGCTACGAATCCGAGGGCAATCGACACGCGAGCTTGAGTGCAGTAACCTCCTGCCTCCGTGCAATGGTATGCTCCGTGAATCAATGTATTCCCTGATTGTAGAAGTTGTGCCATTGCAACGCCAGCGGAGTTCGCCGAAAACAGAAGGTACGCAAATCCTTGGTCGTGGCCATAGTCGAACCAAACTTGGAAAATTTCGGGCAAGAGGTAACTGCCCTGCAAGTAAGTGTACACCGCTAGCCAGGTCTCCACAAACGAATAGATGCAGATGATTGCATTCACCGCCAAGACATATCTGCAAAGGTAGATGTCCTGAAACGGTGCTCACAAATTCTGACGAAAGAGTTTGCACGGCAAAGAAACAATTAATTTAACAAATCGAAGTGGGATGGAAGTAAGATTAGGGTTTACCTGTAAGGTTCAAAGTCATACCACGACACCTTCAGCTGCGGATTGATTCTATATCTGTTGGTTCCCATTACAACGACAGCTGCTAATGAAAAGGAGAACGTGAGAGCTCGGAAGAGGAGAAGCATGGCGTCAGAGCGACGGCGATTCTCTGCTCTGCTTTTCCCATAGAAGTGAGTATCCTTGGAGTTATTCGTTGCGCTATCAGCAGCCTCCATCGATTCAGAAATTTTTCAGAAGAGGAGAGAGGAAACCAAAGCCTTCGCTCAAAAAATTAGACCCCCATTTCAGTACGAGCCAATTCTATGCCCTCGACACCCCAACGATGAAAAGCAAACCAAGCGGTGGTGTACGCTGACGGAGACAACTAAAAACCACGTGGGGGGTTAGGGCAATCAACGTTGCTGACAATCCATGCGGCTCACGTCACGTTGGAAGTAGCGAGAGGGTCGAGAAATAGCTCTCGCTGTCTTTCTCGCTCTCTTCATCTGTCGTTAGTAGAATGCGGAGACCCACAGTTTGACATTGTAACACACTCCGATGACTACCGAGCACTGTTCCACTCTCGTCATGCTGCTGCTACTACACCCACCCACATTCCCGCTGCAAACACAGGAATAACCCGTTAATGTGCGCACCATGGGCCCGGATTCCTGCTGATTCCTGGTTCTTTTCCCCCTCCCCCCCCCCCCCCTCCAGTTTTTGACCCGATAATTCGCGCAACGGCAAGGTTAAATCCTCGGTAGGATGGGTGGTGGTGGTGGTGCTACTGCTTGCCAACCTTCGCAGTGCTTAATCTTCGTTCTCGCTAGGTTATGAAGGAAGGAGAGAAGGAAGACGACTGTGAATTTGTGTTTAGCACGATGTGCCGAACACTGAAGGCGTCGTTGTTGCAAATGTGTGTGTGTGCACACAGTTGTGTTTGTTTTACGCAGTCAGTGTGAGCTTCGGGGCAGTGGCGATGGTGGGGTGCTGTGAAGAAGGGCTTTGTTCCAATTGCAATTGCAATGGGGAGGGGGTGTTCACTCATTTCTTCGAAGGAGGAGCCCCTATAGCAATAACTCTGTGTGAACAAAATAAGCTTGCTTATTCCAGCTGGAGGAAAATATATAGATACATATATATATATATATATATATATATATATGTTGAATGGATGGATGGATGGATGGATGGTTGTTTTGTATTAATATTGATTTATCTATTTGTAAATTTATTTGTGGGGGGTTAGTGAGGGAATATGACAGTTCTGAGTATTCTGCTTTGTTTCTAATTTCGCATTTTCATTTGCTGTAAGGAGGTTATTTTGGTAGCATAGAATGATCCAAATAGATACTGCTGTTGAGATATGTTATATATATATATAGATATAGATATGGGTGTATGTGTGACAGATAAATCGAATGGTTTGGCTATTTGAGAAATATAGTCAAGGATATTCATAGCAGAGTTATTTAGTAGATTTGTTTTATTTTTTCCTGTAAAGTGTGATGACAATAATAGTTGTAAATTTAAGTCAATATATCCAAATTTGACCAAAGTAGGATAGGAATCTAGGCCACCAATTAGCTGGGACACTCTTGCATTTATTGGGGATATCTGTAAAATAGTACTAAGAGTGAATTTATGTTGATTAAGATGAGTGGGTTGAACATAAACGTGTTGTCATGTTAGATAAAACACAAATTAGTGGCATTGATGGCCTTTGATGATAGGAATAGCTATCAAAGAATGCTGTAGCAAGATAAGGTTAAATTGAGTTTGCCAAAATGATGATAAATCTGGATATATTTGTTGCAATTTATCCAATCAAAAGAATTGTATGCAAAAACTTTCCAACTAAATGTCTTAGGTTCAATTTAATTGTCTTCAAAATTAAGAACTAGTCAAAATGCTTTTCAGACATATGAATGATTATAAGAAACTAAATGCAATACATCTTAAAGATTATAAAAGAGTTATTAAATATATATATATATATATATATATATATATATATGATAATATCAATTTAGAAAAAAATTGAAATTAAGAGTTCTTTTATATCATAATAATCATAAAAGAATAAAATTAAAGATTGTTGATGCATACTTCTTATGGAATCGAATATAAAATACTTGCAATATAGACATGGATATTAGGCTTTCAAGGAAATGATTCTTTGAGTTTAATAATTTGTGCTTAAATAATTTAAAAGCATATTTAAGATAAATATTTAAAAGTGGTTAAAAAAAAGCTATAAGATTATAATTACAAATAAATATAACTCAAATACAAAAACAAACAATAAAAAAACCAACCTTATAATTCAATATCAACTTACTAGTTAATAAACTTTGTTTTTAAGAGAAGTAAAACTTGAAACTATTACAAGATTGAAAAATAATTAAAAATAAACCATCTAAAAATAAAATAAAAAATAAATACTATAATATTATAATTCTTCTATAGTAATATCTAACATTAATATGGTGCAAGTTTAATAGATAAACTATATTCATCCAGTAAGTCTATTTGTCCATATAAGCACTATTTAATCAAGAATAATAATAATTGTAATATGGAAATATTTACACATATTCTAGGTAAACTTGGTATTTTATTAGTACATAACAAAAAAAAACTATTATGGCAAGTTAATTGTCTATGTAATACAAAAAAAAAAAAAACAATTAACAAATGTAAATAAAAAAAACAATTTATAATTAAGTCAATGGAAGTTTTAAACTTGCAAATTATGCAAATACAACTAAAAATTGAATTTTTTTCTCATCAAAGATAGATCTTATCTAATAATTATTTATCATTTGTGATTGATTAAAAGTTGGAGAAAAATTGTTGTGACAAGCATCTTAGGAAATTTTTATAATAAACATACTAGAGGCACAGAAACTAACAATTGCTACTACTTCTAATTATTTTTATAAATAAATAAATAAATAAATAATAATTAGAATTTTTATGATATATTATTTATTAAATGATTGGTTCTAAAAATAAAACATCATATTCTAAAAAAGAAGCATAAGAATATAAGTCATTTAATGGCTATTACATTACTAAATGGTTAAAAAAATATGATCTAGGAATCTAAGTGAAGAAAATTTTAGAGATTAAACTTTAAGAAAAAGATATGTATTTTTTTCTTTTTTAAAAATTTAAATTCTTTGTTATTATCCTCATTAACATGAATATTTTAAAATATGTAAGAGTTGAATTATCAAATCAAACATCAAATAGTTTATAATTTTAAGAAATATATATATATATATATATATATATATATATATATGTATTATATTTATAAAAATATAAGATAAAAATATTATGTAATCTAAGATTAGCAAAAATAATTGGCTCTAACAAACTCTATAAAATAAATCTAAAATGGTTGCTAACAATTGATTAAAACTTTGTTGCACTTATTAAGAATAGATTCAACAATTCAAATTGTCATATTATTTTAACACATATGTATTGTATGTATAATACAATACATATACAAATTCATATGTGAAAGTATAAATATATTATTTTAAAATTTGAATGATTAAATTATTTATAAGGACTATTTTATATACAAAGTGATTTTGGATAATAAACTTGTATTTTAACAAATTTTTCTTTAGACTTTATTTATATGTATGCATATAAATGTTTAAAAGATTATAATTTTTATCATATATAAATAGTTTAAGAAATAACCTACCAATAAATTATGAATATAGAATCTAATAAATCGATTAGAAATATTAATCACATGAATTGTGAAATATATTTTGTAATTATATTTTATTTAAAAAATTTATAATTTAAAAATAGTAAAATTCGAAAATTAAAAAAATAATAATAAAAAAAAAATTACTTTCAAATTTTAAATTACAAAGTTAAAAACAAGGAAACAATACTATGCATCATTAATAAATTTAAAATACACTTTTATACTTTGAAAAAATTAACAGCTTCCAAAACTTCATATTTTTAATGTTTCTTTTCCTTTAATTTTCAATTACTATAGTTCTTTAGAAAACAGAATTTTCATTTCACATTTCTAATTATTTTTTAATTTATTTTATAACAGATCTACTGTTCTTAGTAATTTCATTCATTATAATATTAAAATACCCCGCCAATTCCTACTTACCAACTTTTAACTTTAGATATATTGAAACCCTAAAATAAACATATATCTGGTTTATGTATACATGTATTAAAAAACAAGAATTTAGGATTTAAGGAATATGGTTGAATTAATGGAAAAAAAATTTATATACAAATTCAGTGTGAAAGAAGATGGCTTACATACTAATAGCCCTTATTAGATCTAAAGCTGACATAGCTTGTGTGCAAGCCATGATGGATGAAGCAGTCAAATTGAAGCTTATTGCAACAGTTACAAGCATGGAAAAACACGACAAGATTCATCCGACTTGAGTTATATTAGGAGAACTTTTGCATGAAGAATTCTTACAAAGCTGCATAATTTTATTTCTATATAATAATGTGCTGAAGGTAGAAGTAGACTTAGCCATCATCAAGAGAGGCATTGAATATTTCTAAAAACATGCAATTGTGAGATATTTTGTAGAAGGTAAGTAATATCTAATAGCTATTACTAGTTGGAAAAAATCTTTGTAGAAACAAGTAAGAGATTAAATGGAAAAAGATAGAAACCTAAGTCATGGTTTATTCAAGATTCTCAATGGTCAACTTGCTATTACTTAAGAATTATTAATGCTTACTCTTTACAAGACACAATGAAAGAAGTACATTTTCCAAACATAGACATTGGATTACAATGCCATACATTCCATATGATTGAAGGTCCTTATGTGGATCACCTTTGAAGATTTTTGAAGAGAATTTCTTAGAATAGTGGCTTAGATGGCTAGAAGTTGAGAAGATTTATTTGATAGTAATAAATGCAACCTTATTTCAATAGACTATGAATTTTGTGTTGGACTTAATTTAAGCTTTAAATAAAAGATATCACTTTAGGTAACAAATACATGTACAAGAAAGAAGGCCATAATTTTGATTGATTATGGAAATCTGGTCATTTATTGATAATTATGTTTATTAATTAATCACTAAGTTAAAGATTGTATGGAGATTCCAAATAGGATTGAAGAAGATGTAGCTCTATTAAAGAAATTAATGTTAAAAATGTTTATCAATAACATTGGCAAAAGTAATCTTCCACTAGTATTATTAAGTTCAAAGACCAAATCTTGGATTCTTTTTGAGAAATCCTAGAATTAAAATGGAATAATTGAGAACATGAATATAAGGATAAAAAAATCAAGGATCCCACAAAAGAAAAGTAATAACAACAATAAGAGAAGTTAATTACATCCCCAAAATATGATTAGGCTATCTGCAATGTCAAAAAAATAGCTAGAATTGAAGCAAACGTTCAATCCATAATTCCAACTTTTTAAAATCCAAGGAAATTTCTTGTCTTTGGCCCTTAATCATCCCTAGGAATAAATAAACTCACTTCAATAGTACTCGAGTCTTATATGCTTAGCAACCTTAGCCTTGTCTTTAAATAAACCAATGTTGGGAGTATAGATTGGTCGAAAAGAAGATAGGCACAACATAAAAAATGACGCATATTTAATTAATAACCAAAAAGGTCCTCTCTTAATATCTATGTATATAATTACTCTATTGAGATTAAGAATCAATTGAGTATGGAGGAATTTAAAGACAACAACTCCAATAATCAATGAACATTGTGCTAAGATACCAACCTAATAGCTTTGTCCTTGCCCAAGTCTATTAAGAGCTAGTAACAAGTCTAAACAAATAGATGGAAGATTCACAAAGTCTACTTACAAATAATCAAGATAACTTTGCTTAAATGAATATTGATGTGAATGGATTAGCCCTTTTATTTGAATCAATGGTATTTAATAGTGCAAGTGAAGCATCCTTGACTTACTTCTTTTAGCTTTTGATCTCAATTTGGTTAGAAGACCTTTTGTT